GACACGATCTGCGCTTCTGTACATTACATCATCCGGGCTGCGTTCTCGAGGTTGGCGAGGACTGGTCACGCACCGATGGCGTGCAATTGAACTTGAGCAACAGGAGCACGCTACCATATTGCCTTGCGTGAAAGTGAATGTCGGCAGTGACTGTCATCCTGTTTCCACAGCTGTCTCGCCTGTGGACAAGACGACGCGGCGGGTGGCGGGGTCAACCCCTCCCCGTCCCAGCCATCCATGACACTGATTTAAGAATCATGTACCATAGTGCCTTCGGGGTTGGGTTGAGACTGGCAGCGGGTTTTCTTGCGTTCCTATTCTGAATATAGGCCGCTCCTTTGTCTGTCAGCTCGTGTAGTATCGCGCTAGAGATAGGCGTCTCGATGAACAGACAGCAGGATATCAAAACGCTTCAGTGGAGGCACCAGAACACCAGTCCCTCACTCGGAAACGGCCCCATCCTGCAGAGTTCTATGCGGGGCGACATGGGAGGACTTGAAACACTGTAGCCCTGCGAAGCTGCGACGCTGCGACGCTGCGACGCTGTGACGATGCGACACTGCATCCTCTCGCTCGCCTTCGACCCGAAAAGCCCGGGCATGCACAGTCACAAATAGGCTGAGTAGTATAGCCTCGGGCTTCTCCCCGCTGCTGAGACCCGCGTTGGGCGTTTCCGAACGGCCACACACACGACAGAGCCGACAGAGCCAGCAGATGCAGCATCTAGGCCCGGCCTACGTCCGCCGGGCCGGGTCCTCATGACCCTACCAGAAAGCCACCTCGACCCCCTTTCCGCCGCATGGCGCGCATCCCGCATGCCGAAGGCCCTGCCCCTCCGGAGCCGGCTAATAGTGCTTTTCCACGGGCGGCAAGGCGCGCCTGGGTTTTGCGAGTCAGAAGGGTTGGGCCCCGCTGATCGCTGCGAGTTGGTGCACCGGTTCGGAAGAGCCCCCCCATCCCGCCCTAATGACCCCCAAAATGCCCATCAAGGGCGCACTACCCGCTGACCATCAGCCTGGCCCTGACTGGTGACGCATCTCTTGAGTGCCCTCTTAGGGGCAGAAGGGTAAGGGTATGCGCGCCAACGGGCTCTGCTTCTGCTTAGCGGGGCGTGGGAGGATGGGGTAACAGGCCGCTTGACCCCGGAGTGTGCCCCGCGCTCGTTTGCGATTGCCCATCTATCTACCTTGACTGACTGACTGACGTCTTCACACTTGTCTTGTTTGCCGTTCTGGTACTCGCCTTTCTAGCTGCTCGGGGAAGGGGGGCGGGCCTCGTGCAATCCATAAAGGCAAGCTTGCTGTCCCGGCCCGCACTCCTTTCCGCCCTCCCCTCTTCTTGTTACTGCCCCTCTCTCTGTGAGGTCGTGGCTAAACTCTTTCTTCTTTTGCTTCTTTCACCAGCTACACACACTCTCTCCCCCTCTCCCCTCTCGCAGGACCCGGTCTCGATTGCCTTTGACGACGTCCGAACCAACAGCCCGAGTTCGAGCGCCCTGAACCACTGCAATGGCTTCCAACGAAAGCAAACCCGTCCGGGCCACCGATGCTGCCGACCAGCAGGACAGCCCCGACTACCTGCAGTTCGAGTCGCTGCCCGCCGGCGGCAAGCTGAACCGTTGGTCGCAGAAGATCACCAGGGGGCATGATTTCCCCGGCGCTCAGGTAAGACCTCCTATTTGTTTTCTCTGAACTCGGCAGCAAGTGCACTCTTTTGCCATGGTGTCGTCGACCGCTCGCCGCAGCTTTGCTCTCAGCTGTTGGCGAACGGTGGGACACATGTCTTCCAAGCTCGATACGCGACGAGGAACTTCCCCCGACCCAGAAAAGTGCGGGGTGGACATGGCGGGGTCTACGATGCGACGACGGGACGCTGACACTGGGGGGGGAAACACAGGCCATGCTGTACGGCGCGGGCGTGCCGGACCGCGACACGATGAAGAATGCGCCCCATGTCGGCATTGCGACGGTCTGGTGGGAGGGCAACCCCTGCAAGTAGGTTTCCTCTCCCCGGCCCTCCGTGGCATGCACGTTTTGTTTCTTCTTACGGACGCTTGGCTGACCGAAGGGTGTTGGTTTTGAACAGTACGCATCGTAAGCTGCTTCGGCCGACCCGCGAAACCCGTAATCACAAGAGCTAACGTTGCACGGACAGTCCTCGACTTTGGAAAGATCGTCAAGAGGGGCGTCGAGAAGCAGGGGTTCCTCGGATGGCAGTTCAACACGATCGGCGTGTCAGACGCCATCACCATGGGTGGTGAGGGCATGCGATTTTCCCTGCAGACGCGAGAAATCATCTGCGACAGCATAGAGTCGGTCACGTGCGCCCAGCATCACGATGCCAACATCTCCATCCCTGGGTGCGACAAGAACATGCCCGGTGTCGTCATGGCGGCGGCGCGTCACAACCGGCCGTTCATCATGATCTACGGCGGCACCATCATGAAGGGACACTCGGAGCTGCTCGAGAGTTCCATTAACATCAGCACCTGCTACGAGGCGTCCGGCGCCTACACATATGGGCGTCTCAATGCAAAGTGCAACCCGGGAGAGCCCGGCCGTACTTCGTCCGATGTCATGGAGGATATCGAGCGTCACGCGTGCCCCGGCGCCGGCGCCTGCGGCGGCATGTACACGGCCAACACCATGGCGACAGCCATCGAGGCCATGGGCCTCTCGCTTCCCGGCTCGTCATCGTACCCGGCGACGTCACCGGAAAAGGCACGCGAGTGCGAACGTGCGGCCGAGGCCATCAAGATTGTCATGGAGAAGGATCTCCGCCCGCGCAAGCTCATGACGCGCGCCGCTTTTGAGAACGCCCTCGTGCTGACCATGATCCTCGGCGGCTCGACGAACGGCGTGCTCCACTTCCTGGCCATGGCCAACACGGCCGACGTGCCCCTGACGCTGGACGACGTCGACCGCACCAGCAACCGCGTGCCGTTCCTCGCGGACCTCGCGCCGTCGGGCAAGCACTACATGGAGGATCTCTACAAGGTCGGCGGCACGCCTGCCGTGCTCAAGATGCTCGTCGCCGCCCAGTACATTGACGGCAGCATCATGACCGTCACGGGCCGCACGCTGGCCGAGAACGTGGCCGACTGGCCGTCGCTCGACCCCAACCAGCAGATCATCCGCCCGCTCTCGAACCCGATCAAGGCAACAGGCCACATCCGCGTGCTGCGCGGGAACCTGGCGCCCGGCGGCGCCGTGGCCAAGATCACGGGCAAGGAGGGCCTCTCGTTCACGGGCGCGGCGCGCGTCTTCAACAAGGAGCACGAGCTCGACACGGCGCTCTCTTCGGGTTCCATCAAGCGAGACGACGGCAACCTCGTTGTCATTGTGCGGTACGAGGGCCCGCGCGGTGGCCCAGGCATGCCGGAGCAGCTGCGCGCCAGTGCCGCCATCATGGGCGCCGGCTTGACCAACGTGGCCCTTGTCACCGATGGTCGTTACAGCGGTGCGTCGCACGGCTTCATCGTCGGCCACGTCGTGCCCGAGGCGGCCGTCGGCGGACCGATTGCGCTCGTGCGCGACGGGGACCGGGTGACGATTGATGCCGAGACGAACAGGATCGACATGGTTGATGTCGACGAGGAGGAGATGGAGAGGAGGAGGAAGGACTGGAAGCCGCCCAAGCCGCACGTCAGGAGGGGCGCGCTGGCCAAGTACGCGCGTCTCGTGGGTGATGCGAGCCACGGCGCCGTCACGGATCAGGCGGATCCCAGCTGGTAGAATCTAGCAGCTGGAGAGTGTTGTTGGAGATCTTGGGTAGGGACGGCATTAGCACGTCTGTGTGTCAGAACATGTATGATTATCGGGAGCTCGTCTTCGTCTTGAAGTACGTTTTCGATGAGCCATGGGTCCTGACGAGGAAGACATGGCGAATAGTCAGTAGAGAGGTTGTAGCGAGCCTTCATCCTTACAGCATGATAATGTTCTGCATCTTCTGCCTCTGTCGCTCGTGGTGTTTTTATTGCCCCCACTGGCTGATGTGCGTTCGACATGCATCCATCACCTCTATTGGGAGTGACCCTTGATCATCGGCTCCTCGGCCGCAGTAGAAGCAGTGGGGCGGCTTGCGAATATGCCATGGGCGAGGTACAGAATCTTCCAAGCACCTATGCATGATGCTGATCATGCTGAATATTGGGATCAGCGGATGATTGTGGACGATGGACTGCAGAAGCGGCTCGACTGTACGGGGCCAAGGATCTCGAGACCATGTCAAAGGGTACGTACCGGCGACCCTGGATCTAGACCAGACCCGAGACAAAACTTGGCAGTTGCGCCCCATCATTGCTCATGCCCGTCCCCACCTGATCTCCTGAAGCCGCCTGATTGGCCATGATAAGTTTAATGTTTCTTTCGACAGGAGCAGGAGGCAGGGGCTAGACAGGGGCATTGAAATGCCATGTCGAAGGTGCCTTCTCGGCCTCCTTCTCTCGAGCCGACCACCAATTTGGACGATCGCCAGAGGGCCAGATTGCCTTTTTCGACACCAATGACCTGATACGCGTGGCTGCGAATCTGCCTCTACGCATAGCATTATCGAAGTGCCATCCCTCCTAGTCCGATCGCACCGACCGCTGTGCCCTGCCACTACAGCTTCTCACCGGTCTCTTGCCTGTCGCCGCGACTTCCACGATCGCGAGCACACCATCGCCTCTCCTGGGAGAATTCCCTGACGCTCTTTCGACCAGCTCTCCCAACTTCAGATTGTTCGACCTGATCAAGCCGATTCGACATCCGATCATCGAAGAAACAGATTTTCTCTATCCTACTCCTACCCCCGCCGATGACAAGTCTCTATACCGTCCTCTGGGTCTCGCCATCAACGTCTTCGTAAGCCATAAACTCACAACGATCGCACAACGGCTCCTCTCTTAGCAAAGAGAACCCCCACCGCTACGAGACTGCCGCTTGATAACACCTGGCATTTGCGCTCGTCCGAACTCATACCGTTCTCCCCATCCCGGCATCTCGTCAACAAACACCAAGATGGACCTCTTCCGGCGGGCTGGTAAGTCCAGGTCGTCCGGGGCGTCGCCTCTTCCGGTGGCAGACGACAAAATCTCAAAACCGTTCCGTCCGAGCAAACAAGACTCGCGCTATGCTTTCCTCAGGAAACCAATGCGCGTTCGCGGGAATTCGAACATCTCTATCCCGTTTGGCGTCGTTGTCGTTTTCCCCGCCATCGTCCTCATACTGATCCTCATGCTCTTCTTCATGCATCCAAACTCTCCTGGGAGGATATTGATGCCGGCAGGTGCGCCTCCATCGATACGGTACGTGGCTCAAAGGTCTCGGTGACTGTATTCACGTCTCCTCTAACATGGTTCCTCGCAGCCTAATCAGCGAAAAGTACGACAAGGTGTTTGCTACAGGATGTCTCGAACCCGATACCACCAAGCCCCGCGCCAATGCTGCCTTTGTCGTCTTGGCCCGCAACAAGGAGTTGGACGGAGTGGTCCAGTCGATCAAGTCCATCGAGCGCCACTTCAACAGGTGGTACCATTACCCCTACGTCTTCCTCAACGACGACGAGTTCAACTCGACCTTTAAAGAGACCGTCACAAACTACACGTCAGGGACCGTCGAATTTGGCAAGGTCGGTCCGGAGATGTGGGGATTCCCCGACTGGATCGATCCCAAGGTGGCCAAGGAGGGCATTGCCAAGCAGGGCGACAATGCTGTGATGTACGGAGGCATGGAGAGCTATCACGCAATGTGCCGCTTCTACTCTGGGTAAGCTACTCGCGTGCGTCATGCATCAAGGCCCCCCGCTTACAACTCCAGCTTCTTCTACAAGCACGAGCTGCTGCAGAAGTACGAGTGGTACTGGCGACTCGAGCCAGAGATCAGCTACTTCTGCGATATCACCTAGTACGTTCCGATGAGCCTCTCATGCTCGTGCCGCGGCATACTAACACGAGGTAGTGACCCGTTCCTGGAGATGATTGCCGCCAACAAGACGTACGGGTTCACTATCGCCGTCAAGGAGCTCCGCGAGACCGTTCCCAACATCTTCCGTTACGCCTCGGCATACAAGCGAAAGAAGGGTCTCAAGTCCAAGGGGCTTTGGGAGATGTTTGTCGAGCCGATCGAGGAGACCGAGCCCGACACCTCGAAGCCCAAGAACCTGCCGGAGGACATACTGAAGAAGGGCACCAAAGACAAGAGCCAGGAGCCCATTGTCGACGATGAGTCCATGGAGGGCGAGAGCTACAACATGTGTCATTTCTGGTCCAACTTTGAGATTGCACGGCTCAGCTGGTTCCGGAGTCAGGAATACGAGGACTTTTTCCAGACAATGGACCGCAGCGGAGGTTTCTGGATGGAACGGGTAAGTCTGCTATGCCATGCGGTCATACGATGGAAGTCAAGCTGACGGCAATTGCAGTGGGGTGATGCACCCATCCACTCCCTCGCCGCCGGTGCTCTCTTGGGCCCCGGCGACATTCATTACTTCCGAGACTTTGGGTATCGGCACACAACGATCCAGCACTGTCCGGCCAATGCGCCGGCAAGGCAGCTGCCACGAGAAAAGTACCTCGAGACGACGACGCTTGACGAGAAGAAGCGCATCGAAGAAGACGCGTACTGGGAGTCATGGGATGCGGAGAAGGAAAATGGCGTGGGCTGTCGCTGCCGATGCGATACAGACATTGTCGACGTCGAGGGCAAGGACGGATCGTGCCTCGCGGAATGGGTCGACGTCGCAGGCGGTTGGGCGGCCCCTTAGTATGCGGCCTATCCAGATGATCCAACGAGAAAGGGCGAATGATGTCTTGGAGCCGCTGTCTCCCATTGACACGACTATATATACACACACACACGACTGCATTGAGAGTGCGCCAACACCATCAGCGCGGTTAGGCCACTCGGCGTTCAGCACAGGAGTACAGGGGCTTGATTTCGGCGCGTGCATGGCGGATATGAGAAGCGCGGCGGGCGGTCTTTTTCCTTCACCTTTCTTTGCATCAGGCAGACAGACCTTGCTTGGGAGAAGGGATGGAAAGAGGGAGGTTGAATTGTCTAATGGGTAGGAGGAGGCTGGCGAAAAACAGTGAGAGTAGCAACGGCCAGCCAAGCTTACGACGAAGTCCTGGTGATGGGATGGCTGGACTCATCCAAGCATTGCCCAAACACGAGGCTTACCTATAATCCGATGATGTACTACGAGAAGCAGACTGAACAGGGGGTTTTGCCAGCTCATGATGCAATAAGAACGAGGGGCTGGGCTTAGAATCAGGGTCAGAACCCGCATGCCTCTGTCTTGTTTCGAAACAGCCAACGTGAGCTGGAAGGCCCGAGCTGGGACCAACTGACAAACTTCAGACATAGCTGGCCAAGGGGTGCGGGCGGCGGATGAAGGGGGGATCGAAGAGGGAGGGAGGATGCGATGGGGGCTTGGATCGCCGCTGATCAAAGGCCACCGACGTCCACTCGATCTGCCTGCGCCCCCCGCGACTGCGGCTCCCGATTGCGGCCTTCATGCCAACGGTTAGTCCGACGCTGGCGACCGGCTTTACCGCCCAAGGCTTGCCCCTGTTGGCACGACGAGACGACAGGTCGAGAGAACAGCGGGTGGCCATGCAGGAACAGGCTTTCCTCCTCTCTCGGACGACTCCATTTTACAGGGGCTAGGGGCGCGGGGCATTCGGGGCTTTCTGGGGCCACCCGCGGGGGGTTCCAGGGCTTGCGGTTGGAGGACGACTGCGCATCCTTTCCCTTCTCTGTCGGCCAACGGGTTTGGCCTTGATGAGGTCTGCCGCGACGATGCCTTTTCAGACTGGCATGCCCAACGAACATGACTTGTTAGCCTTTCCATACCCTGGCGATGGCCGTGGAAGCCCCGATGCTGGTACGACCCTGATGGCGATGATGACTGAGGGAGGGGTTGCCCCCCTAAAGGGAGTAGTGAAGGAGACTGGAGCCTGATGGAAGAGTATTTGAGTCCTCGACGGGCCACTCTTTTCTTTTGCGTGTCAGAGAGAGAGCGAGAGAGAGAGAGAGAGGAGTCAGAGAGAAAGTCCCCTTGACCCATCATTCCTTGCGAATTGCTAGCACCTTGTCTATAACGTCCGGTCCCGTGTCGTCAGCAGAAGCTGCTCCGCCTTCCAGCATTGCCTTCCAACATTGCTTCCTTCAGCGTGCTTCTTTTAGAATCCTTTCTCAGCGCCCCTCCCCTGTCCTACTCACGTTACACGGGACAATCAGATTGATTTATTGCGACTCACTGCCCCTTCCCCTTGTGTACAGAGCCTTGTTGGTTGTGCTCTTATATGAGTCTTTGACCTGGCATTGGAGGATAACTTGACCTGCTTCGCCGGCATTTCGTTCGACTCGACTACGTCCCAGCAGACCACAGCGTCTTCAAACCACCACGATACCTGCGTTTTCTCTTCCAGAGCAGATCAACAAACAGGAAGTCCCTAAGCTGAACGCCTTCAAATCTTAGCATTCAAACCTAAGCATTCACCTCATCCGACATGCGCCTGTCAGTCGGACTCTCCCTGCTCGCGGCGGCTGCCGCCTCGGCTGCCACCATTCGCATCCCCGCCAAGAGGCAAGAGGCGATCCCGGCTTCCAAGGTCCTCATCGGCGGCCCAGGCCAGTTCATTGTCGCAGACTTTGACGGCACTTCGTTTGACCTCAAGGCCAAGAACTCCCTTCCTGGTACAAGCCCCAGCTGGATGGCCTTCAAGGAGCCCAACACCATCTACGCAGTTGATGAGAACGGCAAGGACCTGCGCATCTTCAAGGTGAGTGGCCTCGCATCATGTCGTGTTGCGGAACTTCACTGACCATGTCACAGTACAACGCTGCGAGAAACGAGATCAAGCTGGACAAGAGCGCGGCCGGCTCCGCCGGTGTTGTCCACCTCGAGTTTAGCACTGATCAGACCCGTCTCGTCGCCGGCTCCTATGTCGACGGCAAGATCGACATTTGGGACATCGCCAACAGCACACTGCGCCTCCTCAAGTCAGTGACGTCGGACGGTGAACTAGGCCCCAACAAGGCGCGCCAGGACCAGCCTCGCGTGCATCAGGTCGTCCGCGACCCCTCGGGCCGCTACTTCGCCGCCAACGACCTCGGCACCGACACGGTGCTCCTCCTCGACTCGGCCGCCGACTCGTACGACATCGTGACGCGCGTCCGCGTCAAGAACGCCGGCTGCGGGCCTCGTCACGGCGTCTTCGTGCCCTCGGCCGACGGCACCAGGGCCACGCACTACGTCCTCGTGTGCGAGCTCCTCAACCGTCTCGAGGTCTTCGAGGTCACCTACGCCGACGACGGCATCCAGTTCGCCGAGGTCCAGAGCCTGAGCACCTTTGGCAACACGCCGCACAACGCCACCTCGGCCCTCGCCGGCGCCATCGCCATCAGCGACAATGGCAAGGACATTTACGTCTCCAACCGTCTGACCGGCACCGCGCCGGCGCCCGACTCGATCGCCCACTTCCGCGTCGCCGCCCCGGAAGGTTCCGCCTGTGGGAACGGCGACAAGGGCGGCAGCAGCAATGCCGTCCTCGAGTTCGCCGGCCTCGTCAGCTCCGCCGGCGGCGTGCCGCGCATGTTCAGCCTCAGCACCGACGGCGGGCTGCTGTTCAGCACGAACCAGAACTCGGGGCTGGGCCTGCTGGCGCTCGAGAGGAATAAGGCGACGGGCGAGCTCACGGAGAAGCCTGTCGCGAGCGTCGACGTGGCCGACTTTGGCGAGGCCGGGTTTGGGCCGCAGTTCGTGCAGCAGATTGCCTGATTTTCGGGAGAGAGTGGCTGTGGCATGCCCCATTGCTAGGGGTTTGGAGGATGGACATGGTTTGCATGAGAGATACCCGAGTGCCACGCTGAGGGGTAAATATGAAACAAAATATGCTGTGAAGGGCTTGTCAGGAGAAGGCGCCTGGCATTTTAGACTAGGCATGAGCATGGGGGTTAGACTTTTATTCTATTCAGTATGATTACAGTTCCAACCGCTATTAGGGTGGACGGACGAGGTTCACTTATAGCACGAGTTTGACGTTGATCTCCTCCATCTTCAACGTAGTTCGTGCAGCTTTTGGCGATGTAGTTTGGCATGGAAACTGTGGCCGACGAGACCAGGTCATAAATTGCCACTTCCCAGGGAGTTGACACGAAATGGCAAAAGAGGTGGATGGGACAGTGCCTTGGCCAACGCACTTTTTCGGACGAGTTAGCTTTCCAGCATCTGGCTCAGATCCCATGTCGTTGCCAAATTACAGGTGGTCATCTTTGTAGAACTCAAAACGAGCAGTTATACGCTGTGAAGCGTCAGAAAAACCCCGCACGATCCTAGTCGTACCTGCATTCAGGTCTATGTGAATGAAGAGGCTCGCCAGAAGCATGTGTGCAATGCCAAAAGGGTCCGGCTACCGATTCAAGTCTGTTCCTCAACTAGCAGTCGATCTTGCTCTCCGCGGGCTCCTTCTAGGCACGGAAGTAAATACAGATGAAGCCATCCATCACATTAAAAACGAGTTCATCCCACATTATCACGTGCATGAAAAAAGAAGCATGTTGTGATGCGCGCACCTCGCGTCGTTGACGCGTCGATAGCAACGGCGCCAGAAACCCAGTTGTCCACGCAACAGAGCCCACAAGACCGCCAAACCCTCCTTTGCCAACAGCCGATGTAGGCACCAGCCATAGCTGTGACTCTGAAATACTTGGTTAGATCGTCACCGTTGGCACCCCCCGGTTCTTTGAAGCTTTGCCGCATCTCGACACAGACCTCTACTCGTCACGCGTAGCACCCGCTATCCCGGTACAACTTTTACGGTTTGGTTTATGCCCGCAGTTCAAGGACAAGTCGAACAAGGATTGCTTGAACAAGGCGTGAGTCCCTGACGTGCCTGCCTTGGACGTCATTGCGAAGACACTGACGTGCAACGCAGCTGGAACTCTTCACATGCCACTCTTGTCCGACCGCAACTCTTCCACGCCCCATCAAGTCGGACAGCACCCCGCAAGCGCGTAAAAGGCTTGCACAAAATTCAAGACGTTGAAGAAAAGATCATCCAAGTACATCAGGGCCAACATGCCTCCGTCCAGAGAGCCCCAAGGAGAATGCGGGAGTCGGGCACTCCCCCAGAACGCGCAGGCGCTCCTCGAATCGGATGTTTGGGAGGAAGAGACAGGTCCTGGCAACACAAACCTTAACGTTCGAATTATGAACATGGCAGAATCGGGCCGTGGTGACATTGAAGCCGACGACTTGCAGCGTGTCGTCAACTCCATCGAGGCGATGCAGGCTGAGATGGCTACCAAAGGACTGAGCGTCAAGAAACGGCAAGACTTGGCCAGACTGGTGGACATTCGCAACAAGCATGATATTCACAGTGCAATCCAGCCAAACACCAGAACTCTGAAATGGTCCGAATTCAAGACGCAGGGCAGAGAGCCCACTCTGGAGGAAGCACTTTGCATGTCTGGCGTTCTGCGTGCTGGAGAGCTCCCTAGCACAAAGCACCTCTTCAGGGGCCCAGGTATCGTCCGCGACGTGCCCATCAAGCCCATCAAAGAAGACGATCCTTATTGGGACCCCGAATGGCTTTCACTCAATTCGTCGGAATTCTCCATCTCAAACTGGAGAGACAAACTGAAAGATTCATGGCGTCGTCAAAAGGCAACCGCCGGAACCGCCACCGCCGACGAAAAGGAAAAGTTCAGACTTGAACAACGGCAGTTCAGCTCAGCCATCAGCGAGATCAGACTGATCAGAAAGTGTTTCCTCGAAGGAGTGACCATTCACCCCAACCAGCTCATATCCAAGAAGTTCATGCCCAAGCAGGGTCTGTGCAAGCGCTGGCTTCTGTATTCAATCTGCCTCAAGCTGACACGGCTGCTCGCCATCCGCCACGACACCGCACCTGGTGCCATCGGCCTCCACATGTCACCGATCGATTTCATCCGCTAGAGACTTGATGAAGCGTTCAAGATGCACCGTGAGACGAATGGCGAGCATACGTACCGCTGGATCTTCCAGATGTCAGGACCCGATGACACCACCCCTGGCAACGCGACGTGGACCACACGGACAGACCCCCTCATGCGCCAGGTCATCATTCATGGCGCCAAGATTCAGGGCATGGGCAAGCTATACTCTGGTCGCAAGAAAAAGCGCCAGAACAGAAGCGAAGGGGTTGACCAAGGCTCTGCCGAGGCGGAAATCGAGGAAGAAGGCGAGGGCGAAGACGGCCAACTCATGCGCCTTTTTGAGACTACCCAGGGCAGCGTCATGGACGACCAGGAAACTCTTTTCCTCGAAAGTAGTGAAACTGTCAGCACCTACTCGCACAGCCGTATGGAGCGTGTTGCTCGAGGTAGTCGTGCGTTGTCGCTCGACCAAGTCAATCAAGCTGCTCGGCCTGAAGTGGCTCGTGGTCAGAACACATCGCAGATTTCGCAACAGCCGGCGACGACCGATCTTTTCACTAGACGAAGAACTGCAGCAATCAGTAACGTTCGCGGACCAACTAAGAGACAGCGGGAGAACGTTCCGATGGCCCGAGTCGCTCGCGACCAGAGAGCTCAAGTGCAGCCTCGCGGCTCGTCTGCCAGGGACAGGTATGCCCGCAATAATCGTAACCGCAGGGGCGACATCAACCGCGACCGTGAAAGTCGACGCTGGCGCCACAGGCAGCGTACCGATTTACCTACGACCACCGACAGGAACCGGCGCAGTGGCAGCGGATTCGGAGGCCTGGGCGGGCGGAATGCGTGAATGGTGTGACTTGCTGTGGCTCATTGCGGCATTATTTCCACGATTGAGTACATGTTTTGGTTGAGGGTACATTTGAGGTCTGGTCGGGATTGGTTGCTTGAATGATGCGAGGAAAATACGTGTTTGTTTGAGTTTGGGCAAGGACTGGTTCAAGTGTATTTATTGTATTGTAGAGTAAGGTACCTAAGGTATGAAGACATGTATGTACAGCTTGAGACGTTCGAACCGGTATTTGGGAAGCATGGACGAAAGAGGCAAACTACCTTATGCAATGCCGCTCTGCATAAATGAAGAGCCGAAAAGGCACGGCTCATCTGTTCATCACTTTCTGCCACTTCGCTATGTGCAGCGGACCAAGTCGTCCATCGCCGGAATGGTGTTGATGGGTTCTGACGGCACGTGACTTGATGAATCGCTTACTGTACCAATCCGGGCTAGTGCATTAGCTTTGCTCCTGCCCGGGCCGAGCGACAGCCGTAGCAAGCAAGATCAAACCATCAAATCAGACCATTGACAAATCCCTCTTCTCACCAGCGTCATCCAGCGAAACAACAACCACCCATTGCCGTCGCCATGTTCCTCCAACGATCCGCCATCACCGCCGCCCGCCGCGTGGCCGTCGCCCCCCTGGCGAAGCGCGCCTTCACGACGTCCTTCATCCAGCGTACGAACTTCAATTGGCCTCCTTTCAGATCCGGAAGGGGGCCGTCACGCCACGTCGGAACAGCTGGGCTAACCAAGCTTTCTTTGGCTTTCTAGGTGACGCCGTCAAGTCTGCCTCTGCCGCCGCCGAGGTCAGGGCCGTCAACCCTTCCAAGACGTTCTCTCGTGAGACTCCCACCGCTGCCGACATCAATTGAGGACACGACGGTCTGGAATTTCGTGATTGCGCGACCGGGCGCTGGCTGCACTGCAATCCAGGCCACAGCCCTGCGTCGTCAACCACGTTCCACACGCCATGTCCTCGGCGATCCAAAGATGAACAGAGCTGACGTTCCCTTTTTTTGCGCAGAGGTGAAGACCGAGGATGACCTCATTGGCCCCGGTGCCCAGGCCGGCTCCATTCCCACCGATCTCGAGCAGTCCACTGGTCTCGAGCGTCTCGAGATTCTCGGAAAGATGGAGGGTGTCGACATCTTCGACATGCGCCCTCTCGACGCCTCGCGCACCGGTACGTGATGTTACGATGGACACTTGTTGGGCAGAAACGGCTGCTGACCGGTTATACAGGCACCATGGAGAACCCCATCAGCGTCCGCTCCGCTGGTGACGAGCAGTACCTCGGCTGCACTGGCTCTCCCGCCGACTCCCACGTCGTCAAGTGGCTGACGGTACGTCACACATCGAGCAGCGATAACGTCTCGGCATGCAATTGCTAATCACAAGCGTACTAGATCTCTCGCGAGCGCCCCATCGAGCGTTGCCCCGAGTGCGGCAGCGTCTACAAGATGGAGTACGTCGGTCCCCAGGACGACGGCCACCACCACGACCACCACCACGGCCACGAGGATGTCAAGACCTTTGCCGACTTCATCAAGCCCGAGTACCGCTACCTTTAAAGGGCCAAATGGAGAGGCGTTGAATTTGGTTCACTTGGAGCGAGCAAGCAGAGACGATGTGTCGTCGGGGTCGGGTCAGGTATGGCGCGCGGTGTAGCGGGGAGACGGGGCGGGTGCTCTCGGGGATGACGTGAGCACGCTCAGCCTTTGTGTGTAGAATACCTCGACGGGCCGCTGTATAGAAATTCTTTTTTGTTCCCACCCCATCCGCCACCGATTTGCGAATTGCCGCCAGACTGCGCGCCGTTGCAAGCCACGAATCGCGTCATCGCCGTGTGTGACTATGGTTGTTGGCTTCATTTGCTTTACGCTCTAGATTTTTGGGGGGGGGGGGGTTGGTTCGAGGCAGAGCCGCGATATCCGGGTTGTCGCTCGCAGGCTTCATCTACGGCTTCACCAGGATAATTAAAAGAAAGCAACGACATGCTAAGGCCATCAGCCCCCCGGCCTCTGGTGCTGGGGCGCATGTCTCAAAAGTGGCCTTACTCCGGATCGAAGCTTAGCTTGATCTTCCTCGCCTTTTTCTTCGGTTTGTCTTTGGCTGCGGACTTGCTCCGCGCGGGGTCTTCTACGTCGAGCTCGTCTTTTCTCGCGGGCACGCCATTGTCTTTTTTCTCGTCATCTGCGCCCACGATCTTGCCCACTTTACGTTTCCTCCCGGCGCCGATGCCGGCCACCTTTTCCTTCTCCCGCTCTGCCGCTGTCTCGGCATCTTTGCCAGCCGCCGTTGACGCATCGTCAGGTGCTTGTGAGTCCTTGTTCAGCCCGTCATCGTCGTTGTCGTCGTCGTTGATGGTCACGACGTTGCCGTTTTCGTCCACGACCAGGGGCTGGTCCTCTGCCTCCTCGCTGGCGGACCGTTTCTTGATGGCGCGCCGCCTGCCGGCGAGAATGGGGTCTGGCCCGGCAGATGCGTCCCCCCGGGATTGGGCGTGGAGGGCGCGGAGGAAGGGTGGAAGGTCGGACGAGTAGGAGAGTGACTTGGCGTTGATCTTAGGTTCGGGCATGTCGAGGGCTGCTGTCAGTGTCGTTGTTTGACTGCTGGGGCGTCAGGGCGTCGAGGCGTCGACGATCTGGGTGGCGTTCGGGGACGTCAGGCGGGGGTCCGAGGTCCCCGTAGCAGGGCGGTCCTGGTAGTTATTTTATCAATTTTCACCGCAAGTGCGAGACATGCGACTCCAGGCGGGAGTTCGTTGAATGATGTGCTTTTAGTGTCGTGATGCTACCTGTCGGCGGGGTGGTGTCTGGGTGTGGTGTGCGCGCGCTACCTGGTTCTGGGGAGCGTAGGTACCTTTCGGCAAAAATCAATCCATCGAGGTACCCCAAGGGGACCCCCCCCCCCCCCCCCAACTTTGCCATTGGGGACGACATCAGTCAGCGCATTAGCGCCCCCCGTAAGGCCCGTAAGGGAGACTGTGCACAGCGCACCGTCCCGTGTGTGGTCTGGCGGGAAGGCCAAATCGGTCCAGCCTCGACAGATCAACGACTGCCGCCGTTCCTCCTTCTCCACCACAGCGCTTCGCCAGCTGCGTGTACCAAGGAGGCTTCCACAAAACAACTATGAGCAACTTGGCCCATCCGAGTTTCGCAATTCATGCCCTCTTCCAAATCCACGGTTGCCAAGAAGCCACGCAGACCAACCAAGCAAGGAGCCTTGATGCATCCTCGCTCCCCCTGCAACCTCCTGGACGACACGGAAACCCTACCCCGCTCGCCCCTTCGAAGCCGAGTGTATCCGGGCTTCGAAAAGAACCTTCGAGGCTTCGCGTCCCAATGAGCTGGAGTTGTTCCCCCAGCTGAAAGGCGGGCCAAGTCTACCAAGTCTACCTGCTGCAGGCCCGCGGCGCCCGCCGGCGAGGTTGCAGTGAGGAGATGGCCGTGGCTTACTGGGGGGGGGATGGACACGGAGAGAGATTGATGTGAGATGTGAGAGAGGTCACACCAGAACAAGGCCTAGCCTGACAGCAGCCCGTGGCCCTACCCTTTGCAGTAGGTACCTTGGAGACAGACGCCTCTTCCTCCCTGCTGCAGGTGGAAATGCAGCCTGTTTCCAACCGAGACTTTGAGAGGAATGGGAGGGCCAGCGGGAAAAAACTCCGCAGGGTCACGCGCGACGTACGAACGAGCTGGCGATTGGTTAGGCGTCCATGCCAGCCCAGCCTCTCGCTCACCACTTCTCACCATGGATGGGAGGACCTGGGGATGGATGACATGGCATCGAGCTTCTTCTTACGGACTCTGGTTCCCTCGCCGCCTCCCTGTCTGCTGCGGTCTGTTGTGGCCATGCTGCTGCTGCTGATGCTGCTGCTGCTGAGCGGCTCGGAGTCGGCCGCGTCGATGCCCGAGGCGGTAGCAAGCCTCGCAAATCGCTAGTGGCGAGCGCGATGGCTTGAGAAAGGGACGATCGCAATGGCAGACTGACTGCCCAAGCACACCCTAAGTAACAGGCAAGCCCGTTGTCGTCGTTTCGACTAGCTGGTTCTCGACCCTCCATCACATCGCGATTGAAGATTATCGAATACGTGGGGCGTCGAGTTCGGCCGAATGATCAGCAGTCAATTCATCCGCTAGCAGCCAGAGTGAATCAAACTGGTGCATGGGCGCCGCTCTCTTCTCTCTTTCTGTTGCACGACCAACAAAAGCAGCACCTTCTCCTGAGACCTCAGCCTCTCGAGACGCGTGCTGTGATTTACCTTGTCCTGCTGCCTCTCTCTCTCTTCCCCTCTCTCCCCATTCCCAACTGGGCAAGGTTGGAGGTGAGAGACACAATTGTGAACAGCGAGTGGCGCATGCTGCTGGACGACCCGATGTCGTGGGACCACTCACACCAGGCAGGGCAAACCACAGGAGAAGCAATGTTTTTGCCTCGATTACCACATGGAAATGAGCGATTGAAACGCTGACTGACTGGACTGGCCTCTTCTTTTCTCTCTTCACCTCCCCTTTGTCACCATGCTTGCTGCTGCTGCTGCTGTGCTGGAATGGTGAGGCTGGACCACACGCCCCCTCCCCTATCAAGCATGTCCCGGTCTGCACCGCCCCAGCAAAAAGCTACAGCTGCATGCCTCTTCCCACAGTCATGCGACAAGTTCAGGTCTCTGATGATCAGTCTTTTTTGTCGTACGCTAGCAACGTACCACCGGGTGGACAGACAGCATGGAGAGCTGGACCAACGAGGGGATGGGCCACTGTCTTGCTCTTTTCATCGATCGAGGCAAAAAAGAAAGTGATCATCGAAGGGAAGCCCGAAGTGCTAGGACCCATCTGTGGTCGCCGATGCTTGGCTGAGAGGGCAACAATCATCACCGTTTGCTCGTTTCTTTGAAGGCTCTTCCCAGTCGACTGGCCTTCACTTCTTCAGCGTGATGCCGCATCAGCTCCACTCACTCGTGGACAGCACACACCCATCTAGTCCATGGACCCTTGATGAGGGACTTTGGATCGCTCCGAACCAGTCCGCTCTTGATCGAACCTCACACGTGCCCCCTTTCCTCGTGAGACTCGCAAGCAACCTGCAAAAAGTGTGTTTCTTTCTCCATGCTGCTCAGGCCGTGTCCCGGCCCCGGACCAAGACATGGCCAAACACACACACCCACGAACTCTGGTGCATCCCCTGGGGGGAAGGGGGGTCCTGGGGCCTCTCTGGGTTGCATTTCCCCCGTCAACCCCAGACCGGGGGGGAAGAGCATGACCAGGGGGGCATATGCGGTACGAGCATCCCTTGAAGCCTCCCATTCGTCTCTCGGCCACCTACCCCAGGCCTCGTCACTGCGCGCTGGCGCACCACCCCTGCCACCTGGAGATGCCGCTTAGCCTAGCACAGCTTAGGGGGAGGGGGGGGGGGGGGGGAAAAAGGCAGGCAGAGGATGGGAGGCGAGAAATGGGAGATCACCGCGACCGACGGGGCGGAACCGTCCCTTCCCTTTCGCCTCGAGGGCCCGCACCCCCTCCCCCTTGTCTACCTGGCCTCGTGCATGCGCAAAAGGCCGGGGAAAGCGAGGGGAGGGGGTGAATAAATAGATTGTTTAAATGGGCTTTACATCGAGTCTGGGGTGGGAGGAGAGACAGAGACAGAGCGCGGGAGAGCGTGACTGGCGAGCTGCTGGTGTCTAGGAAGAGCAAGCCATATGGTACTTACGTCTGCTGTCACCCTCTTACGTCGTCCATCCAGACCTCTCACCACCTTCTCGCACACAGTCTCTGTCACCACACACACACCCACACTCACATACGCACACGGAGACCAGACCTACAACATCCACGTTGAACGAAAGGAGACTGGGGGACTTGACGGCACGGGTTGTCACACCGTCATACAGCCATATTCTTGGGGGGGTGGTTGATACTCGCAGTCGGCTTGTCAAGCAACAAAACTCCACAGCGGCTTCTCTGTCGCCTGCACCTACCCGAGCGGGGGAGTGCACTTGCTGCACCCTTCCCACACCTACACGATTGCAAGTGGTCGGGTGTCACGAAACTCAAAGATTGCTCGATCCAGCGTCTTGCATCTCGCGGCCAGGCCCTCCTTGAGGATCGCCGCCTGGATCCCATTTCGAAGAAGAGATCTGGAACTGCACAGCTAGCTTGCCAGCCACTACGATCTTCTTTTCCACGACGATTCGACAGGTCCCGTCCCGATCCTGGTTGTGACACCCTTACGACCAGGCAATAAATATGCCGGTGCGAGCGCTGTGCTCCCTCGTCCGCGTCGACCTTTCCTTCTCCCTCCTGGCATAGCAAGTCGGACGGACTTGTGGTACGGCCAACACCATGGTGGCTGATGTTGACGTTGGCGGTCCGCTTGGCCATGGCTCGCTCGGCGCTCTGGAGCCGTGGCCTCTGCTGGCCAACGTCCGCGACGCTCGCAGCCTCGATTTCCAGATGGAGCCCCCGTCACCACCGATCCCGCAGCTCTGCCATGACACCATGTGCACGATACACCGACACAACCAGGCCGCCACATTAGCCAACGGCGGGCTGTCCAGTTTCTCATCGGCACCAGGTGGTGGTCGAGCGTCCTCGCAACCGTCGCCTCTGCCGTCGCCGCCCTCATCTCAGATCTCGTTGGACGAGGACCCGTTGAAACTCGATGACCACCCTTTGCCACCGACTACGGCCTTTTCGTTCCAGCCCTCATCGCCCCCGGCGCAGTTTGACTTTCTCCCCCCGGCGTCGCAGCAGGCGCCGCGCGCTAGACCGCTGTCGAAACGGTGCCGGGCCCGCAGCGACGTCGACGGCCCCCACACGGCCGAGCTCAGCTGCAAGAAGCGGCGACTGCGGACGCAGCTCATCACGAGCCGGCTGTCGCAGCCCTTTTCGCAGCCGGCGACGCACATCATCAACCGCGACGCCGTCGCTGCGGGCGACAAGCGTTTCATCAAGCTCGCCGCCTCGGCCAACGCCAACAAGCGCTGTCCCAGCACGCAGAGCTCCATCGTGCGCCGCGCCGCCGTCATGAACCGGGTCCGGCTGCGCCTGCGCGGCGAGGTCGTGTCGGAGCGGAGCAACGTCTTCATGGCCGGCACGGCGACGACGACGACGGCGGCGGCGCAGGCGGCCTGGATGCAGCGCGAGCAGCAGGCCGGCACGGGTGGGCGGTTCCTCGCCGTGTCGGTGCCTGGAGCGGCGCAGCCGGGCGCGAGGCCACCTGCCAACAGGATCATCATGATCAGGGCGGGCGGTGGCGGGGGCCATGATGCGTCGTCGGCGCACGGGCAGATGCGGACGCCGATTCCGTCGGCGTTGCGCGCGGTCGACACGCTCGTCGGACGAGGCACCGTGGTGCCGGCGGCGAGACAATGTCGCTCGCCTGTGCTGGGGCCCACGGACGCCAGTGCCGAGGAGGTGGGCGAGGACGAGGAGATGGCGTTCCCCGAAGACATGGGGCGGTACGGCTCGGCCGATGACGACGACGACGAGGATACCGGCGATGTATATTCTGACTTTGGGGCCATCTTTGGCGGGCCGAGAGAGGGGGACTTCTCGGACGACGACGAGCACTCGTACGAGGAGTGCCTGGACGAGCTGGACGGCATATCGTGGGTTGGGCGATGAGAGGAACGGCGTTTGGCTTGCGACAAACCATGGCGAACAAACCCTGCATTGCATCCTCAGTGGTCTCAGATCCAATGAGCCAGAAAGGAAAGAGAAAGAAAAACACACGAATTGGCCAAGCCCCCCCACCGAGGCGGCCCGCGAAAGCATCTCTATCTTTCCATGGAATCATTGGGCAACAACTCTTTTTGGCATTCGGTCGGACAAACAAAATAGGAAAACATGCAGAGGCATCTCTGGCGGCGTTCATGTGTAGCTAACAGCATTGGAAAGGTCCGCCGTGGCTTCTTTAGGCAGTGATGTGTATTCAAAGTCTTTTCTCGTTTGCGTTTGCTTGCCTCGTCTCGCTGCCCAGAGTGTTTGAACTGCCGTGAGGCGTATGTCATGAGTTTAAGACGGACACGACGCTCACGCGGCTGCCGCAAGCTTAGCGGCGCGGTCCTTGGCAATGTCACACATGGCCTGGCAGCATGTCAGCAAAACTAGACAAAATCCCCCCTCAAACCGAACATGAGAAACAAACCTGTAGGGCCGCCTGCTCCTCGAGCGTAATGTCCCCGCGGTCGATGCGCCGCCTCATGTCTTGCATGATGGCAGGCCGGCCGCGTCCGTTGACGAAGACAACGTAACGCAGCCCCGGGAACTTGTCCTCGTACTCGGCATTCAGCGCGGCGAGCTGGGCGGCCTCTGCCTCGCTGCCCTGGAGCTTCGCCTGCTCCGCCACCGACTGGGCGCTGTCGACCTTTTTCGCACCGAGGCGGGGGTGAGAGCCGAGAATGGCGTGGAGAGCGGCACGCTGCTCGGGGGCCGTCTGAGAAGCCGAGGCGAGGTCCGACAGAATCGAGTGAGCGATGTTGACGAGCTCGTCGTACGACTGATATGTCGTTGTGGATAGCGCGGGGACGAGGAGGGCGTGCAGGGCGGGAGACGGCTCGAAAAGGAGATCGAGGACCTCTGTCTGCTCTATCGTTGTGAGGCGAGGCAACGCCGTGATGTCTGGTATCGTGATAGGCGCCATAGTTTTGTGAGGATCGCTCGTCAATCTAGGTACACGGACACTGACAAGAAGGAGGAGAGGCGAGAAGAGGCACCATGAAGAGGGGGCAAGAGTGTGTTTATGAAAGTCTTATCTCGCCTGCGGTGTGGTCCTCGGCCTGGTCCCCCTCGTTCTCCATCGGCGCATCGGCGCATCCCGCCATTTGGCGTCACTGATAAGAGCTGGGACGATACTGTCGATAAGAGACTAGAGTGCTAGAGTGTGCGAGGTCCCGTCCTTCTCCTTCTTCCTCACGTGAATCGAATGGCCCGTGCCGTCCATTGGCCGCCTTTGGCTCTGGTGGAGCCGCATCTCTCTGCCCCTGCAAGCTTTCTGTTCGACGTGCGAGGCTGACGATTTGTTTTCGCAAAGCGAGTTGCTGGCTCGTTAGCATATTGGACAGTCGCAATTGCATCCGCCACGCCCTGCGCCTCGCCTACCTTTTTCACAACGAATCGTCTCCATTCCCATTGCACATCGATCAATCGCCAAAAAGCATAGAAGCACAATCAGCATGTTGTGTGGAAGTATGTCTGCTCGGGAACACCACTATGCGCTCATACGCGTCGCTAACCAATGGATGACTAGTCTCGGGAGAGACTCCCCAGGAGCCTGTCGCCTCGAGGAAGTCTGGTACAGTCTGACCCCGTCACCGCCTGGATGTTCAACGCTCGCTAACCTTGGCCAAGGCGCCGTGTTCGAGAAGCGCCTCATCGAAAAGTACATCACGGAGAATGGCACCGAGCCCGGAACCGGCGAAGCCCTGACGACCGACGACCTCCTCCCCCTCTCCCAGTCGCACATCGTCCGGCCACGACCCCCGACCCTGACATCGATCCCCGCCCTCCTCGCGACCTTCCAGAACGAGTGGGATGCGCTGGCGCTCGAGACGTATAACCTGAAGGAGCAGCTGGCCCGCACCCGTGAGGAGCTCGCGACGGCTCTGTACCAGCACGATGCTGCGGTTCGCGTCATCGCGCGGCTGACGAGGGAGAGGGACGAGGCGAGGGACGCTCTCTCGAGGGTTACTGTCACGGGTGGCGCCGCCAATGGCGATGCGATGGCCGTCGACTCGGTCGAGACGCTTCCGGAGGAGGTTGCCGAGAGGGTGGCAGCGAAGCACCAAGAGTACGCACATTTCTGTCAATCTGCCTGCCATCACACACTGACAACAAACACCAATCCAGGCTCTCCAAGTCGCGCAAGAAGCGCCCCGTGCCCGAAGGCTGGGCGACGCCCGAGGAACTTGCGGCCTTCCAGACCACGGCCTCGACGACGCTGCCCGTCCCCCACACCTCTTCGCTCGCCCTCGAGGGCGACTATGCTGCCATCGCAGGACCCGAAGGCAATGCCGCTATCTACTCGATCGACTCTGACAAGCTGGAGCGCCATGTCCAGGTCGGCCAGCCAATCACCGACACCGTCTGGACGGGCAGCAAGCTCATCTTCTCGACGACGCAAGGCACCGTCAAGGTCTTTGAGAGCGGCAGCGAGATCGCCTCGCTGGCCGAGAACGCCGGTGCTGTCACGGCCCTTGCGCTGCACCCTCTTGGCGACCTGCTCGCCTTCGTCGGTCAGGACAAGAGTATTGTCTTCTACGACCTGTCGACCATGTCGCGTGTTAGCCGCACCTACGGCGATGCCGGTACGTTTGGCCATCCCCTGGTCGTTACTGCTTCCGTACTGACAAGCCCCCCCCCAGCTCTCACATGCTGCTCTTTCCACCCGGATGGCCACATTTTCGCCGCCGGCACGGCCACCGGCGATCTCAAGCTCTTCATGACGGCCACGCTCGACGTTGCGGCGTCCTTCTCCCTCGGCGCCCCCATCCAGGCGCTTGCCTTTTCCGAGAACGGTTTCTGGGTCGCCGCGACGGCCAAGGGCCAGAGCTCTGTGACCATCTTCGACCTGCGAAAGGAGGGCGAGGCGGCCAAGGCCAAGGTTCTCGAGACGGGCGGCTCGGTGCAGTCGCTCGCCTGGGACTACTCGGGCCAGTTCCTCGCCACAGCCGGCGCCAGCGGTATCACGGTGCAGCAGTACACCAAGAGCTCCAAGTCGTGGTCGGAGCCGTTCCGCAGCTCCGTCACAGCCGTGGCCGTCCGGTGGGGTGACAAGGCGAGGCAGCTCGTCTCCGTCAACGGGGAGGGTGTCGTGTCCGTGTTTGGTGTCAAGGAGGGGTAATCGATCGTGGGCGCAATACTGCCGAGGATGGCACCATGGCTGCGCGGGACAGGGGCTGGTTGGATCTCCGTCAGGAGCCTTTTTGGTCTTTTTATTGCCCCTGGTGGCACTGTATCATAGGCGAGGAAAAGAAAAAGGTCAAACAAGCTTGTTGTGCAGCATGGACTTAACAATAACAAGCGTGGTTCACTCGACGGCACGAATCTCCTCCTGAAACCAATCCTGTTCAGTGGCATCTATTGATACCGTGCCTCATGTGCCTCATGGGCTGCGCGCTATGCCGCACATCAGCTGCAAGGAGAGATGTGTCGGCTTCCTACATGGCTTCGTGGTCACGGCGAGAGCTGGCATCCTTACTGACAAGATTGTGAGTGAACCACGTACAGGAGGTGTACCTGCTGCAGGATCGGATCTTGTCTGGCACATTGATAAGCTTCTCGCGGCAGTTGGTCCCAAAAGGTCACAGGGACCAGGGGGCAACGCTACGCGCCTGAGGTCGGCGGCGGCTGAAAGGCATTTGAAAGGCCCCACACGGTTACTCGACTGGAGGCATTCAGATTCTGTGAGCCTGTGGCCTGCCCTGTACCGATTCCTGCACGGTGCACTAGACTGCACCTGCCTCAGGGCAAGTACGTAGTGACGTTTGTCATTGCCCCCCCCCTTCGATCGGCCCAGAACAAACACCTGGAAGGCGGAATCGCCCATTGTGGCGGGCCGGCTGAGAAGACCATCGATGGATACCTGCATACCTACGTGAATAGGTAATCACGCCTGTTCACCAAAGCCCGGCCCCGAATCCCTGGGGCGGCGCTTCCTTTCAATAAGGTACTTCACGGCAGGTACCCAGTGCATCATCACCTTCCTGGTAAAGCATCATCACCACCCCCCAACTCTCGTGGACCATCATTCACCAGCGCGCGACTTCCCACCTGGCGGCCCATGCCGGCTGCCTCAGACTCCCGCCGTCAACCTGCCTGACTGCCTACGTAGGTACCTTACCTTGGGTATCTGACTCAACTTCGACATTGCGTTCGACGAAACACAACACTGCATCAGCCGTCAGCCGCTTTGAGCCTCGACGTCCTCCATCCCCTCCGCACCGATCACGGCATTTTCGCTGGAGGGCCTGCAGTGTTCAGTGTTTTGTAGCGACCCGCTCGCCTTCATCGCCTTTCTTTTCTCCGCTGTCCGCAGGCGGGTCGACATCTCGAGCGCGCACAGGGTCAATGTGCATCATTTGTTGTAGCCTCGCCACTGCAATAATTCCTACAGCTTCGGCACGCTCGACTGAGTACCTTGCGCCTTTCTCCGCCAGCGCCCTTTATCTCCGGCTCGATAACGACGACGTCTTTTGCCCCTTCGACCACCCTTTCCCCACCAGCAAGGACGGCTGAGAAGAGCACATGTTTCTCAGCGTCGAAGCAGAGGATTCGAAAACCAACATCATTGTCCCTCTGCCGCCCGACCGCGCTCGATCGGCCGAGTGACATCACGCGATATATAGACCTCGATCCCCGACTCTCCAACTCTCCGACCCGCCCACCTCGACGACCTCCTCCCCCCCCCCCCGCATAAAGCCGACAAGCAGCATGGCTGCGTCGTCGCCCGAAGCGTCCCTCTTTGTAGGCAGCGACGAGTACGACCTATCACCCTACAACGGGCATGTGTCACTAGACGGCCTGGACAGTGATGAAGACATACAAATCATGGCGGACGCAGGCGATTCGCCCGCTGCGTTTCCTCCCATGTTCCTCGACCACATGTTTCGCGATGACAATGATCCCGACTTTGAGCCAGAACCTCTGAGCGACGACATGGAGTCTTCCGACATACACTCGCTCTCCCCCTCCAACCACTCCTACCGATCGGTTGCCGAGGGCAGTCTTCCTCCTTCCAGCTCAGGACCAGAAGCACTGGACCTTCAGAACCGACGCGCCGACCCCCGTGATGTGGCATTAGCACGCGATGTGGCTTTGGGTGTCTTTGGGGACGACCTGGACTGGATGGGCGAGCTCGACTCCGCCTTTGACTTTGCCGAGATTGAGGGCCTAGAGGCTGAGCTCGAGGCACAGAACCCTCATATCCGGCAACCACTCCACGCGTCCCAAGGGGCAACAAGCCAAGGCAACGGCGCCGACCAGGGCGGCAGGGCAGTGGGGAATCTTCTTCGACTGTTAGAAAATGACGATGGAAGAGCAAGCGACGCAGGCGGTGCGAGAAGGCTCGTGCCGGGACCGCCCAACCGGAATGCTGCACGACGGCCTTTCTCCCCTGTTCATCTGCTTAGTTCCGAGGGTGACGAGTACCCTGGGCGCGACAGTTTTCGCTCGCGCCACGCTCGCGATGTTCTCGTTGATGTGGAACTGGACGCACGACATCACGTTCCTCCCTCGCTTCAGCGACAAGAATCCCGGCAGTCTGGTGCTGCTGAAGTCATCGACCTCACAAATGAGCCCGACAGCCCGATACAGGCGCACGCCCGGCCTGTCTCTCAAAACGTTCGCCGCCAAAACTCTCAAGCCCGCAACCCACCCGCTTTTGCTCGCAGCGACAGCAGCATTCTCGGCGGTCCGCCAGTCATAGATCTTACAGACGATGCGCCCGACCGTCCTTTACCACCCTTATTGCCGGGTACACGCTGGCCCCAGGCGCCGCGCCGGGCTGTTCATTCCCCAGAGCTCCTGTTCCTCAACCAGCGCCCGATTCCGAGGCAGCAGCAGCCAAACCGCCGGGAAGGCGTGCAGTCGCGAGCCCGTTCCCGTCAGGCCAACATGCTCAACGGGTTGCGACGTAACTTCTTGCATCATTTGCCGTTTCTCAACCTCTTCAACCCCGACCCGGCGGACGGCAACCTCGACATGGTGGAGGGTATGATGGGCAATCCCTTCAACCCCGTTGGCCACATCCAACTTCAGTATCAGCGCAGCGCCTTTGACCAGCGTCCTCCATCACCCAAACCTGTTCACGTTCCACCCCCTGCAGCACGTTCTGGCTTTTCTCGAGATACCAAGGCCGACAATAGCTCGGCATTTGTCTGTCCTGCATGCAACGAAGAGCTAGCCTACGACCCCCTCGAGGCACCTTCTGCTCCTGCACCTCAGGCGTCTCGCAGCACCCGACTCGGCAAGCGGCCCCGAAGTGAGCATCACTTCTGGGCGCTTAAGGGCTGTGGCCATGTACGTTCATACTACTTTGTCGTGACCGATTCATTTGCTAATGTGATACAAAGGTTTACTGCGAGGACTGCTACGAGAACCGGAAGCCCACGAACAAGAGACCCAACACGGGATTCCTCCATGCCGGGCGAGATCACAAACTGTCGTGCGCTGTCGAAGGTTGCGACACGCAAGTCACCAATAAGGGATCATGGGTTGGCATTTATCTGTAGCCTACGATGCACGGCAAAAACGCCCATCGAAGGAATGAGCAGAAGAGTTGGCGAGAGAGAATCACTGTGTGGACGACTGCTTTGTACCGCGGGTTATGATGCCTTTTGTCAACAGGCTGGACAACGCACCCAGTCTGACAGGCATTGGAGGGATTTATGAGGCGCCCCGGAATGGGACTGGACATGAGGGTTCACGGTTATGCATGGAATGGCGTTTCTAGACATGGCCCTATTCGGCCGGGCTAGGGAGGCAGCGTTGGCTTGGCTTTTTCAAGTTCATGTGTCGTGCGCCTTGTGCCTAAGGCTAGGACGATTTGAATTATGTTATCCCGTTTTTCAACACCTTGAGAGTGCGCCCGCGGTCAAGTGCATGTCGCATACTAGCATACGAACACAAGTGGACGAACATGATGGGTTACCTTGCTAACATGGTAGATGAAAAGGGTTGCGCACCGTACCACAACACCCAGGCGAAGATTCGAGGTAAGTCTGCCATATTGGCGGCAGACCAACAGACGCCTTGGTGATTGATTCGGAAAACGAAAACAAATGGGTATCAATTCTCTAACTCCCAGAATCCGTCAAAATGTCGTAGCAACGCCCATCAATGCTCTTTCCTTCTCCCAACAAATATCTCCCAAGCGCCCAGCCGTTGTCCATATCGGCCGAAGTATGTTCACCTCTGTCTTGAGACAGGGTTTCCCCCAATCAGCTCATCACGCGTCTCCGATCTCGCCACAGCGCCTGTTTCCCAGTATCCATAACAAAAGCGACCCACGGGCCCTCGGCAAAAGCAACAGCTACCCCCCTCTTCGCCCCTGTCGTTCACATGATGCAGAGCGCACAGTCCTTTGGAGCCTGAGCTTCACACAGCCAAGTTGCCCCAGTCTTCATCCGCAAAGACGGCCCGCAGGTCTTGGGATGAGATTGCATCCCAAAGATCCTGGGGCTCGTCGAGTTCGGGGCGCGGCTTTTGCGGCTCTGCCTCCTGCTCCTGCGGCCGGTGCTGAGCCTGCAGGCAATCATCGTCCCAGTCTGCTTCGAGCATGGCCGCCAGGTCCTGCGACGACACGGCGTGTTGCGGCGGTTGCGCGGCTTCCGGAGGGTTGCTGACCGGTCGCAACGGCGCGCGCTGGCCTGTTGCTGCGGGGGGTTCTGACGGGTTGACCATGGCTGGAGGCTCGGTTTGGCGAATCTCCACCACGTTCTGTGGCGCGCGGGCGTTGGCGCGTTGGTTAGGATCAGGCCGAGGTTTCTGCGTCGTGACTTTCGACTGGCGAGTCCTGCCAGTTGCGAAACTCTGCATGACTGGTCGTCTGCGTTTCCAGGTCATCGGTATCAACGGCGCAGCTTGTTCTGCTTGCCACGCCATGCGCTCTGGTGCTTCCCGGCGTGCCGTCTTCGCAGCCATTACGGGCGGTGCTTCGATCTCCTGCATGTCCTGAGGCGAGAGGTTGAAGTCCTGGCTGCAGAAGAAAGGCATGGCATCGCCCGCATCTGCCTGGAGCAGAGTGAGACGATTCTGTTTGGGGCACTGTTTCTTTCTGGCGCCACCTGAGCCTGCTCGGTGAACAGCCTGGCCTCGTAGGGCAGGCTCGGCGCCGAAGTCGTGGACCTTCGAAACAACCTGGTCCTCCAACAGCTCTCTTTGAAGTTGCGTGCCACTGGGAAACAAATTGTCCAGATCTCCGAATTCTGGGAGCAGATCGACCACGGGCGCAACCGCAGGAGAAGGTCGGCCCTTCTTGCAGACGTCTACTGGAGCTGCTTCGCCTGGTCTCTTCCGGCTTTGGCTTGAGAGCTTGTTGGTCTGGACATTGCTATTCTCGCCACCCTTCTTCGTGCTTGCTTCCTCGAGTGCCAACTGAGAACAATCCCCAAAAAAATCATCGAGGTTATCGTTGATGAATGCAAGCGTGCTGGACGGCGGGGGTAATGAAGGCAAGTCCGTGCGAAGAACCTTTTCCATTGCAGGTTGCAGAAACTTGCGGGCGCCGGAGTCAGTGTCGGGCCTGGTTTGGCGATCCTTGTAGGCGGATGGGTGCGGTGGTCGCACGAACCGTGGCACAGCTCCATGTTTTGGGGTGTCGCGCAACGCAGAAGCTCGAATGAAGCCAGGGCGATCAATCTGGTCGCGACACAGCCTGGTTGTCACTGCCTCTGTGACAGGCACCTTGACGGGAGGAGAATGTGAGTCGTGAATGCGATCTTGTACGCAATCAAGCGCAGGGGTGTTGGTGATTAGGTCAGCCTGCCCATCATGCTGCGAAGCCTCCTTTCTTGCCAGTGAAATCGTGGGAGAAGAAGGGCGGCTGGGGCTCGGTGTTCGCTGTATGATCAGCGGTGGTGAACATACTTGGTCGCCAACCCCTTCATCTAGTCTGACGCGCTTCTTCGGAGGGCTTCTAGGCACCTCAAGCTGTGCTTCTTCCCGAGGTTCCGTGTACAATGGCGCCGCGCTTGGTTCTTCGTCTGCGTCGTTGTCCTTTTCCGTGAGCTCTTCCTGCTCACTAATGGCAAGCAAGCGAACCAGTTCAGTCGAAGGAGCTGCGGAGGGCTTGGGTTCTGTAGGTTCTTGAGGCTTCGCCACTTTTGTAGGAGCTGCTAGCGACTCGACGTGCTGCTGTTCTCCGTGACTCTGGCTCGGTTCTGGCCTTGCTTCTTCTGCTTGGCATCTTGGTATCACAGACTCCTTATGTTCCCGCTTTTCTAGTCCTGAAATACTCGTCTTCTTCTCGACACGATTCGACTTGAAGAACCGAGCAATCGTATCCTGACTGGGACGACATGTTGCAAGCGGCAGCCCAGCCTTGCGCTTTGCGTCTTTCTCAGCATCCTCTTTCGCCTTCTTCTTGTCGCGAAGTACTTTGGCCTTTGCCTGCTGCCGAACCCGGTCTTTCTCCTGCCTCTCCGCCTTTTCCTTTTCCGCGATCTCTCGTCGGATCTCAGCCTGGAGTTCCCGGTCGCGTTCTCGCTGTTGTTGTTTCGTCAAGCGAGGCCCGCGATTTCTCTCGAGATGCAGCTTCTTCGCTTGCTTCGAGGTCATCGGTCGTCGGTCTGCGTCGGAGAGTGGAACATTGCTGACAGGGCGAAGCCTGTCGGGGACGGCACTGAACTTGCGCTGTTCCAACGTCATGATGGCGGATGGTTAGCCATGCCTCGTTTTGAATGCTGGCAGGCCCATCAGCACGTGAAATGAGAGCCTGAAAAATATAGCAAGTGAGTCAGAAGAAACCAAAGCGCCACGCGAATTATAATGTAGGCGCTGGAGTAAACGTGTGTTCTATACGTGCAGAAACGAGTGATGCTGGATTGTATGATCCAGGACCAGGCAGTGGTGAATGAGTTAGACAGTGGGGTCGCGCTCGACACACCTCGTTGCCAAACAAGTGGCAACGCGCGCAGTGGCCACGCGGTCATGTGATGCACAACCAGGTACTTTGGCGGGGTAACTATCAGCCACTGAGCCCAGGCACAAGCCACAAGCCGCGGGGTCGATCCCCAATCGATTAAAAAAAATAAAAAATTGGTTCAGAGGGGCCGCCATATCGGGCTGGGTCTTTTTTTTGCGACAGCGACTCCTGACACTTTCCTCGCCACGATATAACGGATCCTTTCGCAAAAAGGGAAAGCTAAAAAGATGTCGAAGCGAACGGCCGACACCGAAATGGGCGACGGCCCCCTCAAGGCCGGTGATCGTCCCGAGAAGATGGACGTTGACGGCGACAACGAGATGGGCGAGTTTGAAGACGAGTTTGAGGACGAGTTCGAGAGCGAAAGCGAGGATGAGATTCTGGAGGCTGGCGTTGACGGACGACCAGATGCGGAGCGCGAGGCCGAGGAAAAGGGTATGCTTTTATCTGACGTTTCCGCGAGACATTGTGTCTGACCTTCTTTCCCAGGTGCTATGGAAGTTGACCAAGGCACTTTCATCGTCGGCCGGAGCAAGCTCGAGCCTGGCCAGACGCTGGCCCCCGATCTCACCACGTACCAGATGCTTCACAACCTCAACACGCCGTGGCCCTGCCTTTCGTTCGACCTTCTCCGCGACAACCTGGGCGACAACCGCAAGGTTTACCCCGCCACGATGTATTCGGTTTCCGGTACCCAGGCGGCGAGTGATCGCGCTGAAGAGAACGGACTGATGGTCATGAAGTTCAGCGGTTTGAGCCGGATGGACAAGCTTGAGGAGGACGAGTCGGACGAGGAGGAGGACGATGACGACGACGAGGATTCCGACCCTATCCTCGAGTCCAAGACGATCCCCCTAAACTCGACGACCAACCGTGTTCGTGCGCACCAGATTCCCTCGCAAGATGCCTCAAGGCCACCTACAACACTGACGGCCACGATGACTGAGTCGACCAACGTCTTCATCCACGACATCACTCCCCATCTCACATCGTTCGACAACCCGGGCACCACAATCACCGCCCAACAGAACAAGCCTGTGTCGACGATTCGCGCGCACAAGGCCGAAGGATACGCGGTGGACTGGTCGCCTATCGTCCCTGGGGGCAAGCTCCTCACCGGTGATAACGACGGCTTGATCTATGCGACCACCCGCACCGACGGCGGGGGCTTCGTTACCGATACCCGTCCTTTCCAAGGCCACACTAGCAGTGTCGAAGACATCCAGTGGAGTCCTTCGGAACAGTCCGTCTTCGCCTCGGCGTCTAGCGACGGCACGGTGAGGATTTGGGACGTCAGGAGTAAGAGCAGGAAACCCGCCCTGACGGTCCAGGTCAGCGACACGGATGTCAACGTGCTGTCCTGGTCTCGCCAGACCACCCATTTGCTGGCCTCTGGCGCCGACGATGGTGTGTTTGGCGTCTGGGATCTCCGTCACTGGAAGGGGACGGGCGACAAGCCCACCCCCATTGCCAGTTTTGACTACCACAAGGAGCAGATCACCAGCGTGGAGTGGCACCCGTCCGACGACAGTATCATTGCTGTGGCGGCAGGTGACAACACCGTCACGCTGTGGGATCTGGCTGTCGAGCTGGACGATGAAGAGAGCAAGGATACGGGCGGCGTCAAGGACGTGCCTCCCCAGCTGCTGTTCGTCCACTACCTCTCGAACGTCAAGGAGCTGCACTGGCACCCCCAGATCACGGGCAGCTTGGTGGCCACGGGTGATGAGTTCAGCATCTTCCGTACGATTAGCGTTTAATGATACCTATGACGCTCAAGAATTGAGCAACTTGAAGACCATGATGTATGAAATCTGTGGATGCAAGCATGTCGTGAAACTCACTTGAAGGGCGCGGGAGGCGCGAGGCGGAAGACTCACGGGCCCTGGATCGTCTCGCAAAAGAACAGCGAAATAAAATAATGGTGTTTTATTTGTATACCAAGATTCCACAGGAGGATGCTGTTTGGTGTTGCTTCATTGTCCCAGGGATTGCCCTGCACTGTTTGCGCCTTCGTGACCCACAAGCTTCTGCTACCATTCTTGCATTCCACATCTTACCGGGCGAGCAACCCATCAGCTTGCTCTGCAACAGCAATGCCAGTCCATGTGCGTCAATCAACCCGGACAGCCTTGCCTGGCTCTTCGATATGGAACACCACGCCTGAGACAACCTTCCGCTCCAATGTTGTAGCTCTTGAGCGGCAGACGAATGCCGTGCCTCTTGATTGCCAGCATTTTCCCGTGTCAAGCTGGGACCCCATCTCTGAGAAGTCGGCAAGCTATCAGCTCGCGCTATCACAAGAGCAGCAGCTCGCTGATGATTTCTCTTTCATCGCTGCCGTCGGCGAAGGCGCACAGTCTGTGGCAGCTGCGACAGTTCAAGAGTCAACCCATTTGTCCTTGGGTTCGTCGGGGCCTAGCCTTCGATTTACAATTGCTTCTGTCGATGCCATCGACGAAGCTGCACAGAGGTTTCTCAATGGCATCTTCAAAATTCTCTCAACAGTGACCACGAGCAACCAGGGCACCGTTCTTCAAAACATTTTCGGTCAGATTGCCGGATACCACAGTCAACGCCTTTTGAATCGCCTGCGCTCGGTCAGATGGACAAAGCCGACATACCTCGCCAGGACGCACAAAAAGCCTCTCTTTGCAGATTTTGAGAATCTGAAACACAGAGCTCAGCTACTCTATGCTCGCTCTGAACGCTCTCAGCGCGTCAGTATCGAAGCGCACCTTGCCTCTCTCGCGTCAGTCCTCGAGGCTTTCGAGGTAGCCCCGGAAGGAGGACCGGCAGCAGAAGCCCAGCAGCGCCTCAATCTCATCTGCGCTTGCTTTGACTTTTGCGTCTCGCAGGAGGTAGCGGAGTTTCTTCATCGCCTTCAAAAAGTGCGGGCAACCTCGCAGATTCAGGCATGCCTTAAGACCTTGCACCAGGTCGAAAAGATTGCGGCGTATTACAGAATTTCCAAGACGTTGACGGACTACGCACTGGATTTTTCGGGCCTCTTCGGAGACGTTGAGCTTATCTTTTTGACCCCGTACGAAGCAACTCCCATCGAAGTTGCCTACCAGCCGTGGGCGGCATCTACTCATGTCCATGCCGAAGTCATGCTCTCGGTACACCACGACCTCAGCAGCGCTACCCATGCTTTCATGACTAGACCGAGGTGTATGGGGGCCTCGAAATACCTCTGTTATCTCTGCTACCTGTTCCTTCGCCGACATGGAAGTTATTTTCCCTCAAGTACTCACGGCGCCTGTTACGACCAGTGGACGATTCCCGACCTTGCTGAATACCCTCACGAAATGAGACAAATGTACCAAGGCATTGTCGATGGAATGAACCACGATGTAGTAGAGGCGATCAAAGGTGCGACTCGTCGCCCTGAACCCATGACAAGCCGAGAAAACCTGATTAATGCTTATCATGCAACATAATTTCGGGCTTTCAACGTAGCAGACGAAAATCGCATGATCTGCAACATGCATTCATTCATCTGTGAATGATTCTAACCACTCAGCGGACCCTCAAGAGGAGTGATCGCAGGGTCCCAGCAGACAGGGGCATATTCAGTCGTCTCCAGAGACTTCATGTCCTCCTCCGACAGCTCAAAATCAAAGACGTTGGTATTGTCGCGGATGCGCGAAGGCGTCACGCTCTTCGGAAGCGGCACGTACCCCTTCTGCAAGCTCCAGCGCAGGAGAACCTGTGCCTCAGACTTGCTGTGCTTCTTGGCCAGCTTCTGCAGGTTCTCCTCACCCCATCGTTCGCCGCGAACCAGGGGGCTGTATGCCTCGACAGTGATGCCGCGCTGCTTGGACCACGTGGCAATGTCGTTCCTCGCGCACCACGGGTGAATCTCATACTGGACGACGTTGATTGCACCTCCCTTGCCGGCGCCGCCGCGCTCGGCTTCGAGCTCCTTGATGTGTGTCTCCAGCTGGTCGAGGTGATGGACGCCGTAGTTGCTGACGCCAATGGAACGGACCTTGCCAGCCTCCTGGGCCTCAACGAGGGCTTTCCAAGCGCCCTTGCGACCCTCGGAGCCACCGTAGGGGCAGTGGAGAAGCATCAGGTCAATGTACTCCAGCTCCGTCTCCTTCAGCGTCTTTTCGACTTGTGCCTTGGAGTCTTCGTAGTTGATGAGGCGGACTTTGGAGGTGAAGAAAATGTCAGAGCGGGGGATATCGATGGCCTTCTTGATGGCGGCTCCGGCGCCAGCCTCATTCTTGTAGGAGGCAGCAGAGTCAATCTATACATGTCAGTCAGCTGTCAGGTGACGCATCGCATTCGTGTGACATACATGGCGGTAGCCAGCCCTCAATGCCTCACCGCAGACTTCCTCAGCCTGCTCAGGAGGTCTTGGCTCCTTGTCAGCCGGAGGTCCCAGACATACTCCGAGAAAGGCGGTTACTCACGTTTTCCATAGCTGTTCAGTTGAAAGTTAGCCGAGCTCAATGTCTAGGTGGATTCCCCTACTTACGCCATAGCCGACAGCGGGAATCTCATAGCCGTTGTTCAGCTTGATCTTGGACTGAAGATTTTGAGGAGCCATGATGAATTTCAGAAGCTCAATGTTTAAGCCAGTGACAAGTTTCAAGCACAGAATGTTGCGTCAATTCAACAATATGATCATGAGGGGGGCCGTTACGGAGATGGCTGTGAGGACCCATCAGGCTTAGCTAAGTGTCGCTCTGTTTCGGCCTCTTTAACCCGAGGCAGTTCCACCTATGAGATGCGTCGCGCCCCAAACATCACCAACAACATCACTAGTATGAAGATTGCACAATTGCCCTGATCAAAGAGTCCAGCTCATATTATCTGCACGTCATCCGCGCCCTCGACACCGTCAGCATCGTCTGCATCCTCGTCGTCGAGGTCTGCGATGGGATACGACAGGAGAGCTGCTACGCTGCCAAGCATGTCGAGTCTCTGCCCACTCTCGTGATCACTACTCAAAATTCTGACCTCACCTCCGTCTTCTTTTACCTTGTCAACGAGGGCCACGTACTGTTTCCTCGTGGCAATATCGGAGCTACGGAACAAAGAGTTGTTCATGATGAGTGTGCCACCGCCTGGACCGACCGCACCCTCCTGCACCGCCTTAGTCACCGACGAGGTGCCGTACCACGCCCTCCCGTCGTCCACCCTCAACTTATCAAAGAAGGTGTCCATGAGTTTAGTCTCCTTGGTGAACTTGAAGTCCTTGAGCTTGTTCCCCATCTCCGGGCTCTTGAGCACCTCGTTGAGGCTGTGGACGTGACCGGAATTTGTGTGCACAACAATGGCCTCCTTGGCGATATTCGACAGCTTCTTGTCCGACTTGTCACGCCCTTCATCCGCAATGTACTTTTTGAAATCCACAGCGATGAATCCAGGGCTCGCCAGCAGCAGCGGCCGCGGTTGGTCAAAATTGACCGTTCGCAACAGGTTCGACAAGGTCTTTTGGTAGAACTTGCGCATGCCCTCTGAAGTGTCTGACGCGGCGCTCCTCTTCTTCGGCACGACGCTCTCGATGCGCTGCTTGACGACGGTGCGGAACTGCGTGATCAGGCAAATGTTGGCGATGCCTTCCTGCATGACGACAGCGGCCATGGCGCCATCCTTGTCGTCGGAAAGGCCCTCGTTCAGTGTGTCGCGCGCGACAGAGTCCCAGCCCTCGGGCTTGCTCAGTGTGAAGGGGCGGCCGATTTCGAGGTCGAGGGTGTGGTGCTGGCCCAGGCTGACATAGGCGTTTTCGGACTTGACGACGCCGCTGACCTGCAGCTGGCCGGCAATGGGATCAAAAAAGGTGGATTTGACCTTGATGGCGAGCATTGTGTGCACTCGTTCAGACTGCGTGCTGCCGGTCTTCGTTTCGGAGACAACCTTGCGGACGGCGTGTGCGACGACGGTGTCGCCGGCTGTGATCAAGTTGTAGGCGTGCCACTGGATGAGGAGAAAGTCAGAGAAGGCCTGCAAGTCATGCGAGAGACGATTGCGCGCACCATGTCTTCCGAGTCCTCGGCCGTCAGTGTGACAGCGTCTTCCGCGACATATTGCGAAGGTTTCGTCGACGTGAGCTTCATGGTTCTTTTCTCGCCTCGGATGGCGTCGTCTGGGAGCGTAGTGTGCGACTCGGCAGAAGTCCTCGAACAGAAAATTTGGCTTCGATGGTGTTGAGCGAAACGGCAAAAACCTGGCGCGATTTGGGACCCAAGTTGACGTCACAGAAGCTACTGGGCTCACAGACTCGAGCCTAACAGAGATCGCGACCTTCGTTACACCATCATCGAGCCATGGCGGGGGCGGGGAAAGGCTTATCGAAGGACCCCTCTTATCGAATCGAGCCTATCGATAAGAGCCCAGCCTTGGCCCTCGAATCCCGTTGGCAATGCCTCAAAAACGGTTGGCTTTTAGTGAGCCACCCACTGGAGACAGCAGAGTAAGGTACTGTACATGAGGTCATGCCGTTTTCATCAAGCCACCTCTCGTCGGATTGACAATTCCCATTTGGCAGGTGCCAATGCTGGAGTCTTTGAGGAAGGCGCATCCGGAGCCATGACGCCTGACAAATCGCTAGAGCGTCCTAAGATGTGATGGCGGAGGGCAATTGATGGACCATTTGGTCCTCCTGGATTTCCTTGACCCTGACCTGTTGAGGAATCTCGACTCGTCTTACTTCATTTCGTTTCCTTCATTCCATCCTCCCTGGGCCCTGAGAGATTGAGCCTCGAGCAAACCGAACACGACGCGACCCATCCCTTCGCAAAGCACGTCTCTGAGCTATATCGCCGTACCCTCGCATTGTGTCGTATTCTCGCATTCCGACCTAATAATATCCATCCAGTCAGCTTCCAGCCTCCGCGGACTTCGGCCTTGCTCGCACGGCGCGGCTGTATTCGATTTGGGTGCCGCACCTTGGGAGCCCTGGTCTGTCGTGGTGGGCTGGGCTTTCGTCGGCCTCGCTTTTTGTCTGTCGCTAACCACCAATCTGTCCGACAATCCGTTCGGATACCCGTCCAGTCCCGCGCACTCCGGCCTCGTCGGATGTCTCGTTATTTTCCCACGCCAGCCCTCTCGGTCTCGCCTGCGAGGATCGAACGTCCATCCATCCATCCCACCCGGCCAATTAACCCAGTTCCGACATTGCCGCCCCTTCTCAGGGGTCATGTCTCCTTACCCCTTGAAAGCTCAAACTCAAACCGCGTGATGGGACATGCCGAACTCTGTGTCGGTCAGCATGTCTGCTGACAACCGTCGTCGAGACAAGCCGTCAGCGCTCAACGTTGCTGCGGCCGCCATGACGGCCAGCGCGACTCGCTCAGCGAGCCCGAAGCCGAGCACCTCGCGGCCAAGCCACGAGGCCCCCCGCGCACCTCTGCAGCAGCAGCAGCAGCAGCAGCAGCAGCAGGCAGAAACGAGCTTGAGAGCCTCCCTATCGGATGACCATGGTACGTCCAGGTGGCCTGCATTCCATTTGCCTGTCCGCCGTGCATTGTCCACCGTTGTGATTACCCACCGCGAGGGCTGGGTGGCGCACGCACTGTGAAGTTTCGCATAGCGGCGCGGGTCCGAGGTGCGAAGTACGACCCGACTACTGACCCGTCGTGACATCGTAGGCAACAGCTTTCTGCCCTCCGCCCTAAGGAGAACGCCCACCAAGCTGGCCCGAACCGTTACCCCGAAAGATGGAACTGCCGTACGAGACATTAAGACGCCGGCCCGGACGTCGCCCAGCGCCCAACAGACGCCGTCGTCTGTCGCTGCGGCCGCCTCCGCCATTGATCCCCTATCACAGGTAAGGCCTTAGCCTGGCCACTCACCCTGTTGCCAGCCCGAACCCAATGTCAGCAATGCGTTGCTGTGCTGACCGCTGTTCGAATCGTTTAGCATATTCTGATGCGAACCAATACCGAAAACAACTCCACTACTCCTCGTCTACGATATCCGGGTCGGCCGGAGAGCCCAGCCCCAGACGTTCTTGGTCACCAAAGACACGGCTCCGACACGACGCCAAAGCATGCCGGGGTCGCTCCGACAGATCCGCTCCGAGACAAGAAGTACGCCTTTCCCAGTGACAGTGAACCGGTGGTTTGTTGATACAATTGCTGACGCCTCACTCTGCGCAGAAAGGGCGTATCTTTCCTCAGTCGCCTTAGCATGCGCGGCCGGAAGAAGGACGACGATGCCGACGACTTGTCTGAGCTAGGCGAGCCAAGACTCGACGGCACCGATGCGCACGTCTTCTCCTCTTCTATCGGCGCCGGCGGCTACATCCCGCACCACAAAGAACCTCCGCGATATATCAAGGTTCGCGCCCACCACAAGAAGACTCGCGAATTCAACCGCATGTTCCTGGCGCAAGAGCTGTCAACCGCCCCGCAGCCCGAGGATGAAGCCGACCTACAGTCGTCAGCAGCGTCTACCGCGAGTGGAAAGAAGCGCCCGCATAAGACCGGTGCTGTGTGGGCGCTGGAATTCAGCAAGGACGGACAGTATCTTGCAGCTGCTGGAAAAGACCAAGTTGTCCGTGTCTGGTCGGTCTTGTCGACACACGAGGAGCGTCGACAACACGAGGAGGAAGAGAACGCCAGCGCTGCCGTCGAAGCCCGACTTAGTGCCCCCGTCTTTCGAAGCAAGCCAATCCGCGAGTTTACTGGCCACACCGGCGAGGTCCTGGATCTCAGCTGGAGCAAGAACAACTTCCTTCTTTCCTCGTCCATGGACAAGACAGTTCGCCTGTGGCACATGAGCCGACAGGAGTGCCTTTGCACTTTTCGACACAAGGACTTCGTCACGTCCATTGCTTTTCACCCCACCGATGACCGCTTCTTCCTAGCTGGCTCTCTAGATTCCGTCTTGCGATTATGGAGCATCCCGGACAAAGCGGTCGCCTACTCCGTACAGCTCCCAGATCTCGTCACTGCTGTGGCTTTCACTCCAGATGGCAAAACGTCCATTGGCGGTGTCCTCAACGGCACTTGCCTTTTCTACGATACCGAGGGCTTGAAACTGCAGACCCAGATGCTTGTGCGATCCTCGAGAGGTAAAAACGCCAAGGGCAGCAAGATCACAGGCATCAAGACCCTTAACACGCAAGTGGGCACCGCCGAGGTTGAGACCAAAGTCCTCGTTACTTCCAACGACTCGCGGATACGCATCTACAACATGAAGGACAAGATGATTGATGCTAAACTGAAGGGGCACGAGAATCAATGCAGTCAAATTCATGCCGACCTGAGTGATGATGCGAAATGGGTCATTTGCGGCAGCGAGGACAAAAAGGCTTTCATCTGGTCCATGGACCCGAGTGATCCCGAGGTCAAGGATAAGGTACCGGTTGAATACTTCAACGCTCATTCAGCGCGGGTTTCCGCTGCCATCTTCGCACCGACAAAAACTCGCCAACGACTCGGCGCTTCGGGTGATCCCCTCTACGATCTGTGTAATCCGCCGCCTGTGAAGCTCATGAGCCTAGAGGAATCTCTTGTCGCGAGCCAGACAGCCCCCGGAGATGCAGCACAACCAACGAAACAAGCGCAAGGAAAGAAGCCGCGAGAGTCGGCTGCCTAT